GTGCTCTATCAATGTTAGCTATTATTATTCAGGCTTGGACTCTGAATGAAGACATAGTCTACTCCTAGGACTATACTTGATGACATTCCAGAATGGCAGATTCTGCCAGATCTTGTGCTCTACTAAAATAATATTTGAGAACCTGGGGTCAATCCCCTCCATGCCACATGAGGCACCAGATAGGACTATGTAGAGACTGACAGTATGCGATTTTTAAATATTTATGACATTTCACATAGTGCCGCATTATAGTGGAATAACATGCTGGTTAACAGTCAGAAAATCTGTATTCAAGTGCTGCCTCTGCTACTTTTTGCTTATTTGACCAACCACTTCCCCTCTGGGCCTCTGTTTTCCTTATCTATAAAATGGGAGAAGGAGATAATCTTTAATGTCCCTTTCTGCTCCATATGCTATGATTCTGTTATCCAATGTAATATTTTTTCACTATTGGTATCATGCTTTGTATAAATGTATTTCTTTTTTATGAATATTTGGTTTATTTTAAAAAGTAGTTTTCTAGGACTTCAAAAATTGCTGCTGTAGCAATATGCTTGCATATAAACAATGCATTATTTATAAATTAATCTCATCTCTTCATAACAGTAGATCCGGCTAGAGCTCTTAGCAACACTTTGTTAATCCTTATTTTTTGTTATACCATTTACATGAAAGTAACCAGGATTTCTTTAAATATAATCAACAACTTCTCTCTAATTCAAACAGAAATCATTCCCTGTCCCCCTTTCTAGCTAATTATTTTGATATTTTCTAAGATTATTGGTTGTTGAAGTGTGGGTATTTTCTCCACTGGCACAGGTTGCAGTCCTTACATATTTTCATTAGTTAACAGGGCCAAAGATTTCAGCTGCTAGTTGCCTACGTTATGATGTTAAGCCTCTCTGAAGTACAGGTAGGTTGGTCCTTAGATGCAAGTTGTCCTAAAGCCAACTTAACCTGTCTTCTTTTTTATATTTTATTTTTTTAATTTATGGACTAAAACAAGTATTTCCATAACATAGTATAAAAAAGATGATTGCACACGAAACTGCAGATCTCTTCTGTACAACTTGCTATTCCTTTTAAACACATAATAATCATGTAAATTTCTTTTCTTTTCTTTCCCTTTTTTTCTTCCCTTCCCCCGCCCCCAGCCGTAGAGATGGCCACCATTAGACACAAATAGGTGTGTGTGTTTGTGTGTGTGTGTAAAATTATTCTGAACGTACTTCTATTTATCAGTTATTTCTCTAGATGCAGATAGCATCTTTCTTCATATGTCCCTTATGGTTACTTTTGGTATTTATGATAGCCAAAATGACTTATTTGCTCAATCATTCTTAGAACAATATTGCTGTTACTGTACACAAAATTCTCTTGGTTCTGCTCATTTCGCTTTTCGTTATTTTATGCAAGTCTTTCCATGTTTTTCTAAGATCATTGAGCTCATCATTTCTTCTATCAAACTAGCATTTCATCACAATCATACACCACAACTTGTTCAGTCAGTCCCCAATTAATGGGAATCCCTACAATTTCCAATTCTCTGCCACCACAAAAAGAACTGCTATAAACATTTTAGAACACGTAAGTTCTTTTCCTTTTTCCCTAATCATATTTTGAAATAGACCTAGTAGTGGTATCAAAGAGTATGGGCAATTTAATAACTCTTTGGGCATCATTCCAGATTGTTCTCCAAAATTGTTGGATCATTTCATTCCACTAACAATGAGTGTGTCCCAGTTTTTCCATATCCCCTCCAACATTTGTTGATTTCTTTTTCAATCATTTTAGTTAATCTGATAGGTTTAAAATGGTATCTCAAGGTTGTTTTTCAAATGTATTTCTTTCTAAGCTATTGATTTTTCTTAGCAACATAAGCCTTATTGCATAAATCTATTAAAACAAGAAGTTAATTTCATCAACAAGTAAGGATTTGCCTTTTTTCTTTCCTTCCCTTCCCTTCCTTCCTTCCTTTCTTTCCTTTCTTCCCTTCCCTCCCTCCCTTTCTTCTTTTCTTCCTTCCTCTATTCCTTCCTTTCCTTTTCTTCCTTCACTTTCTTCCTTCCTTTCCTTCCTTTTTACCCTTCCTTTCCTTTTTTCCTTTTTCTTCCTTTCTTCCTTCCTTCTTTCCTTCCTCCCTGCCTTCCCTTACTTTCTTCCTCTCTTCCTCATACTCAAGATTTTATTACCTCACAATATCTTGAGGATTCTATTAATTTTGCCGCTATACCCCTCAAATTAAAATATGGATCAGATTTCACCTGAAAGGTAGAAATAGAGGTTGCATTTAGAACAAACAAACTTCTACATATCCATAGAAGTCTTCCTGCTAAGTTTAACAAAATGCTTTGTTGCTAAGGTGTACTGAGGGAGCCAGTGCCTGCCTGCTGCAGCTCAGGACCAGACCCATGACTACCCTTTCCCTGTAACTATAGTGTGAGGACAAAGCTAATCAACTGCACGTGTTTTCTTGCTATGGAGCATAACTAGCAAACCATTGTTCTGGATGGTTAGAAGCTAATTTCTCATTGTTTTCCATTCACTTATATCTAAGCTTATATGCAGCTCCAGGCAGCTACTGAGTTTCCCAGTTGCCTCTGTGCTTAACCTTTATGTTGCAAAGTCAAAGTCTTTTTTCCCTATCAAGTGACAGATGAATGAGGCTCAGAATCTGGCATCAAGGGGTATTTTGAGCTATGAAAAATTAGAGTTTGTTAAACTTTTGCTCAGAGATACGTAAAGGATTAAAGAAAGCAACAGAAGTATGGTGAAAAGGGATTTTGGAGTACTGGAAGAGAGAAGATAACTACTTATGAGGGAAAACAATCATGATTCTTTACATTTGCACTGTCCTTTTCCATTAGACCCTTCACCCTCAGTGACTAGAGGTAAGAGGTAAAGTGCCTAAAATCACACCAAGTCAGCACCAAGGGCAAGCCTGCAGATAGATTTCAGGATCTCTGACCAGTCCAAGAGGATTTAGCTGTGCTCTCTAGGTCAGTTCAAACTTTCCCCTGCAAACCTCACAAAGATTTTGTTTTGAGCCCTGCCACTACATTGAGTATGGGAAGTTACACTGTATTTACTTCACCTTTCTCCCCATTAGTGGCACTTCAAGAGGTTCTTAACCTTTTTTCTATCTTGGCCCCCTTTATCAGTGGGTTGAAACCTCATGATCCCTTCTCAGAGGAATAATTTGTAAATGCACAAGATACATAAAATTGCAATATAATTATATTAAAATACATTTGGCAAAATACATTTTAGAAGGTCCTAGACCCCTTTGAGATATCCAACCCCTCCTGCCTTCTCCACCTTTTCCCCAGGAAAGAAAAAGAAAAAAAAAACTTGGTCTTCTCAAAGAATAAGATTCTTTTTCACACTAAGATGCAAGTTCTTGATAAGGCTCTCTGGGAAATGTACTTACATTTTGAGAGGGACAAAGCATCAAGCCAGAATTTTGGGTTGTATTAAAAAACCCTCAGGTAAAAGCAAGCCATATGGAAAAGTTTTGCTGTTGGTAGTGGTGGTGGTGGTGGTGTTTTCTCGCAAGCAATGGAGCCTTTGCTGAAACAGTGACTTAGGGATAGGCAAACTCAAAAGTTGATGAAAACTTCAAGGATTGCCCAATTTTAGAAAGGGTGATCAGGGAAAAGGGTTGTCAGGGTCAGTTAAAGTAGAAAAATAATGACGAAGGTGAAAACTGGTTGTCAAGAAACTGAAAAGGAGAAATTTACATAGTTATTAAAAGGGAGTAAAGCCTGGAAATCTATTTACAAGCCAGGACTTTGAGAATGAAAAACGAAGAGGACCACTAATTTAAACTAACTAAATCCTTTTATGACCATTTAGATGAAGTTAGTCTCAAGGTATAGTTTCAGGAGTTCAACTAAGGACAGCCTTTCCAAGGAAAGTTAGACACCTTGCAGTAATCAAAGTTTACAATGCACATGCCCAATTAATCTCTAGGATGATCTGACCTTGAGGTGGTCTCTGTGACTTTGGGTTGAAGTCCAACTTTCTGTTGGACCTTGGACAAATCACTTTATCTCTGTGAGCCTTAGCTCCTTTTCTGAACGGTAAAGGGGACAGATATTTGTACTACTTTAAAGGATTGTCCTAAGAAAAGTTCTGTATAAATCTTAAAGCACCCTATAAGTGCTTGATCATGATGAATGAACAGAGCTATAACAGTGAGGCTATGCTTTGGGTAAGCTAAGACTAGAGAAGCAGAAAAATATGTAAAATACGTATCTACTATCTCCAGAATTCCTCATTAGGAAAAGAAGGAGTGTAATTTTATATGCTGGGCACACCATTAGGTAGTTGAGTGCAATTGAGTTCAGCAGGTGAACATTACGGAAGATTTAATAGTACTAAGGACTAGCTGGGTACTCAGGTTGGGAATGAAGGAAAGGCATTTTAGGAGACTGTGTTTGTGAGACTGGAAAGAGAAAGATTTGGAGGTGAATGAATTGGGTTGGCTGGCACAGAGCCCCAAATCATAGAAGCTGGAAGGGAGCTTAGAGAAAATGTAGTCTAAGTCCCTATCCTCATTTGGCAGCTAAAGAAACTGAGGAGCAGGAAGAAGTGGCTTGCCTCTTAGGTTACACAGGTAATAAGTAGCAAAACCTGGATTCGAATCGTTTCTTGATTTCAAATACAAGCGTTCTCTCCTCTTTGCGAAAGCAAAAGGAACAGGGGTGACTAAAGACAGGAGGCAGGGAAGACCCTAAGGAGAAGCGGTCCGACCTTCGGCCGCCGCCACTTGGCTGGGGCCGGTAGTGCGGTCTGTGCGGAGCTCTCCCCGCAAGCCGAAAGCCCTAGGCGGACTCACTCAGCCTCCCACCCGCCGCTCCTCCCTCTCAAGACCCTGGTTGGCTCGGGCGCTGCCTAGCGCAGCAGCGGCGGCAGGAGGAGCCGAGCCCGCCCAACCCCGAACCGCTCCCCCCCCCAACCCGCCCCCCACCCCTGAAGCTGGCACTCGGGTGGCAGGAGCAGCGCGCACGGCTGCGGGCTTCCGGCCTCGGAGAGGCAAGTATAGGAGCGGTAGCAGGCTCCAGAGCAACAGCCGGCCTTGTGGCTCCAGCACACCCAGTGTTCTCGCCCTCTGCTACCCCGGCTCTTCGCAGCCTGTTCTGTCCCTGGTGGCCGGAGGCTTCCGACCCCTTGGGACCCCCACCGCCAACATCAAGAGCCCCTCAGCAAAAGATCAGAGGCTGCTGGCGCCGGCAGCTTCAGCACCCACCATGGGGAAGCCGGCGAGGAGGAGATGGGACTGCAAGAGATTCCTTAAGAACAATTGGCTTCTGCTATCCACAGTGCTAGCTGTGGTCCTAGGTGAGGATTTGGATGGAGACGGAGATTGGGATAGGGATGGGGATGAGGATGGGGATGGGGATGGGGATGAAGACAGGGAAGATGAGGGAGGCTCTAGGGAGCTGCACCTGAGGGGCTACTTTCTTGCCGATATGACTGTACACACACGAACATAAGAGTATGCACCCCAGGACTCGAGGTTGTGTGAAGCATGTGTAGCATGTGTATGACTGTACGTGTGGGTGGCACAGCTGTGCCTGCCCACGGACAGCCTTGAAAAATGTGTTCCCGGTTGGGGGGCGGGGGGAATCTCTAACCTATGCACAAGATCCTAGGACTTAGAGCTGGAAGGAACCCCCAGAAATCATCAAGGATAACCCCCTCATTTTTCAGACAAGGAGATGCTTCCCCGAGCCACCTCCTGGCCACATTTATCTTGTCATGCAGAAGGAAAGAATGCTTTTTCTGTGGCTCCCTGTTTGATGTTTGCTGCCGGTTTTCTGTTTTTACCAAGAACTGGCAGTGGGTTGGGGGGAAAGGAGGGGGTAGTGCAGAGAGGAAAGGAAGGGAAAGGGGAAAGAAAATGCAGTCTAGTCCTTCCATCTGGCAACAAAAATAATGATGCTTTAAAAAATAATATCTCTGCATCCTTTAAAAGAAAAATTTCTCAATCACCATCTGGAAGGGGCTTGAAGGCAAATGAATGATCTGCTCGGCTTATTTAGGTGCTGAATGTCACAGGCTCCTGATGGGGAACTGGTTTATGGGTATATGGGGGTGTGATTGTATGTGTGTGTGTGTGTGTGTGTGTGTGTGTAACTGGTTTATGGGTAAGTGTGTGTGTGTGTGTGTGTTGCTGACACTAAAGAGAGGGGGTGGCTGCCAGAGCGATGGCAGCAAATGAATTCATTTTCACCATGTCTGAAAATCTGCCAGTTGGATTTCTGTTTGTGAGAGAGAAAGAGAGAGGGAGGGAGACCTGTGGGGGTCTTATAGATAAAAGAGGTAGCAGGAAAAACCAGATCCCTCCTCCTTATCACCATTTGAGCATTATTCTTCATTGTCATTTGCTCAGAGGACGCTGCACTCCTCCTAATCCAAGCTTCCTTTCATTCCATATTTCTTGTGTGTGTGGCTTTTGCCAGGAGGTCGCATTTAAATAACATACTTCAGGCAACTTACTTGGCTAGGTGAGGTTCCAGTAATTGATCAGAAATGTAAATTCATCTCCTTTAGCTGCTTAATTTCTGTTAATGTAAACAGACCTGGACTCTCCTCCCCCAAATCAATAATAATTTGATTTAACAATGTGTTAATACATTAAGGACCTATGATTACCTTTACCTATACAGATCACAACCTATCTATAACTTGTAATTTTAGAATCTTAATAATAACACATATCTATTGTATGTTGCTATATGTAAAGGTTTATAACTTATAGAACTTAGAGTCAATAATAATTGATGTTTACAAAATATTTTAAGGCTTGCAAAGTGTTTTATGTACATTATCTCATTTGAGCCTTGTAGTAACCCTGACAGGTACATATTATTGGTATTATCCCCATTTTACAGTGAGGAAGCTCAGGGGATCAAGGAAGATAAAGTGACTTCTTGTTGTACAGTTGTGTCCAACTCTTTGTGACCCCATTTGGGGTTTTCTTGACAAAGATACTGGAGTGGTTTGCCATTTCCTTCTCCAGCTCATTTTACAGATGAGGAAACTGAGGCAAACAGGATTAAGTGACTTGCCCAGGGTCACTAGTAAGCTAGTAAGTATCTGAGGCTGGATTTGAACTCAGGAAGATGAGTCTTCCTAACTCCAAGCTGGGCACTCTATCCACTGTGCCAACTAGCTGTCCATGATCTAATTGTTCGAAGTATGGGAATCCAAGTCTTCTTGATTTCAACCTCTTTACTCTGGCCACTATTCTATAGAAGATGAACTTGAGGTTACTTTTTCTCCTCTTACCAAAATTTCTCCTCTGTTTTCTCCCCTCTGACAAACTCCTATAGAGCGGAGCCACCCCCACTGAATCCCAATATATTATATTATATATATATATTATTATTAGAGCTGCAGCCCACAGGCCCTCCAGAAGAACCAGGATTTGAAAAGCCCACCTGATCCCTGTCCACTTTTAGAGCTAGTAACAGGGGTTAGGCTTTGAAAGGTAACAGGGACAAATGTAGGTCTCTCACTTCATTTGTCTCATACAGTGACTTCCACAACTGACTATTTTAGCATCTTTGCTGGTCCCCATGGGAAAATCTGAGGCATCCCATTATCACTGATAATAACAGCAACTTCATAATTCTAAAGGCCTTTGCAAACATTTTCTCAGTAAATCCTTAGAACAACCCTGGAAAGCAGGCGGCAGTAATAATAGCTCGTATTGATGTAGGGAGTCAAATGCTTTCCACAGAACAATCCTACCAGGTTGATAGTGAAAATGTTATTCTCTCTTCACAGATAAGGAAACTGAGGTTCAGAGAGGTCATACAGGCTGAAAATCAGACAGTATTGCAGAAATGAGATGACGGCTCAAGCCTTTTGACTCCTCTATGTTCAGGGGTCCTTCTGGGGTCCTTTACCACATCTGTGCCAGAATTATATGCCCATCAAGGGGAGAAACTAGAGTTCAAAGAAGTCAAGTCATGTAGGATGACAGGATTGAAGCTGCAAGGGACCTCAGGGGCCATCTAGCCCAACGATCTCATCTTACAGGTGAGGAAACTGAGGCCCACAGAGGGTAAGGCACTTGCCTACATAGGGAGTAAGTAGCAGAAGTAATATTTGAATATTTGGAGTCTACTGCCTCCAAAGCCATTGATTGTGTCCCATACCACCCAGGGCTTTGTGACTAGTAAATGGCAGAGCCAAGGTAGGAGTTCAGATCTTTCTAACTCCAAATTTTGTGTTCTTTCCAATATGACTAAAATCACTAACTTGTATTCACACTGGGCTTGAAAGTTTTCAAATGACTTTCCTCACAATAAATCTGTGTGGTGGTTTAGAGGGTGCAAACAATGGTAAGAGCTATCTACATAGCCCTTGAGAATGATATATAGAACTTATCTCACATGATTTTCACAATAATTCTTTGAGGGAGGTGATGTGGTTAGCCCCATTTTACAGATGAGGAAACCAAGGCTTAGGGACTAGATGAATGACTTCAAGGTCACACAGCTCATAAGTATTTGAGGTAGAATTTGAACCCAGATCTTTTCTAGCTCTAGGTTCAGCATACTGGCTATATGCTAGGTTGTCACAATAGTATTACTAGCTCTATTTTACAGATGAGAAAGCTGGGCCTTTGGAAGCTTCAAGTTGTTTGTGGCAGATCCTTCACCTAATTAGCCATCAAAGTCAGTATTCAAACCCAGTTCTTCTGTCTAAGCTCCAAGTCCAATGTTCTTTCTACTATCCCATACTGCCAAGTAGATGTGGAACTTGATAGAAGCCTTCAGACGACCTCAGGGTTTAAGCCACATTGGGTATTGTTCTATCTGAGAACACAGGGGTTCTAATGGCAATTCTCTGTGCCCCCCCATCCCAGATCCTTACAATTTGACATGCATTTTAACTATTTATGTTGTCCCATCAGTACAAAATTCCTGCATCACCCCTACCAAGAAACTAATAGATTCAATTGTACAAACATTTATTAAGCACCTAAATTTATTTTAAATTTATTTATGACATTCATTTATTTTTAAATTTTGAATTCCAAACTCTCTTCCTCCCTCATCTATTGAGAAGTCAAGTAATGTGATGTCAATTATACATACAAAATATATTTTCATATTAATCATGCTGCAAAAAAAAGCAAGAAAAATAAAGAAAGTTAAAAAGTATGCTTCAATCTACCCTAGAGTTCATCAGTTCTCTCTCTGAAGGAGGGTGGCATTTTTCATCATGGGTTCTTTGGAATTGTCTTGGATCATGGTCTTGATCAGAGTAGCTAACTCATTCACAGTTAATCATAGTGATAATATTGATGTTAACTGTGTACAATGATCTTCTGGTTCTGCTCACTTCACTCTGCACCAGTTCATATCAGTCTTCCTAGGTTTTTCTGAAATCATCCTGCCTGTCATTCCATACAGCACAATAGCATTCCATCACAATCATATACCACAACTTGTTCAGCCATTCCCCAATTGATGAACATCCTCTTAGTTTCCAGTTCTTTGGCATCACAAAAAGAGCTGCTATAAAGACTTTTTGGACAAATAGATCCTTTTACCTTCTTTAAAATCTCTTTGGGATACAAACCTAATAGTGATATTATTAGATCAAAGGACATACACAGTTTTCTAGTCCTTTGGGTATAGTTCCAAATTGTTCTCCAGAATGATTGGACCACTTCACAACTCCACCAACAGAAGCACCTAAATTTATTAAGCAAAACACTGTTCTGATGGAAGACATACAGAGTTTAGAAAAGATACAGATGCTTTCAAAGCTGGAAGGAGCCATAGAAGTTTTCTAGTCCATTTTGCATTCTTCTCATTTTCCAGATGAGAAACTAAGACCCTGAAAGGTCAAGTGACTTATTTGCCCAAGTCCATGCAGGTAGTAAAAGACAGAATGTGAACCCAGCTCCCCTGACTCCAAATCCAGGACTCTTTCCATTCTTCCATGCTATCCCCATGTTCAGATTGGGGGGGGGGGGTTGGATATGATCTTTAGTTCAAAAAAAGTGTTTTTGCAACAGACTGGATGAGAAGAAAAGAGAAGGGGAGAAACTTGACAAATGATTTTCTTTCCTACTAAGAGATTTAAGTCAATTTTAGCCCTTTTTAGGGAAGGCTGATCCCTCTGATGCCCTCATTGTTCATTAACAGACCCATGAAAAGAAAGCTTTAACCTCCTTGCAAACCACATAAACAGCAAGATCAGAGCATGGTGGAAAGAGGATTGACTTAGAAGTGGGAAGACTGGCCTCTCATAGCAACTCAGCTACCCACTAGCCATGTGACCTTGGACAGATTACTTCACTAATTTTAGTCTCT